TCCCCCCCCCCCCCCCCCAAAGATAGCCTATGTATTCTGAATCTACAGAATCTATATTTCTTTATAACATGCACATGATATAGAAATCCGCCTGTTTTCGCTTAACTCATTTTTGAATAAAAAAAAACAACTAAAGTTTGTGACCAGAATAAAAAATAAATAAATCGAATCCACAAGTCAGCTCTACTTTATTTTAATTATTTGAATGAGATAAAGACGCAAACTCAGGAGCTGGATTTGAGTCAATATAGGCTGTCTATAAAGACTATCTATCTTCAAATTCGTCCGTCAAATCTGAAACATAGCTTTATAATTCCATGAAAGGTTTATCATATTTTACAGCTTAAAAGACCTCAGATCGTCACACAGACGGAACCCTCTGGAGAACCTCTGGACAACCTTCTGAAGGCGCTTCAGATACACTAGAATGAGCTTCACTGTACGTTTAAAGTGCCTCAAAGTCTTCTTAATTCCCAGCGCATGGTTCCCGTTTTGGGAATCAATTCCTAACATTCTCTTTAGCCTCTTCGATGACCGTCAACTAGCATTTCAAGACATTTTTTTAAATTTGTGTGACAACTATAGCTAACGTTAATATAACGTTCTCTAATGGTTATTTTTAGGTCTCAGGTGCAAGATCTTGTGGATTTCAAGTGCCTCCTGCCTACACAGGTTCTTCACGATGCCATAGAAGAACCTTTTTGCCCAAATGGTTCCATAAAGAACCTTTAACATCTGAAGAACCTTTCTGTTTCACAAAAGGCTCTTTGTGGCTAAAGAAGGTTCTTCAGATTATAAAAAGGTAAGAAAGAGATGGTTCTTTAAAGAACCTTTGACTGAATGGTTCTTTGTGGAACCAAAAATGGTTCTTCTATAGCATCGCTTGAAGAACCTTTTGAAGCACCTTTATTTTTAAGAGTGTAGAGGTTTTGCAAAGAATCTGAAGAACCCCAAATGGCATCTTTTCATTTTTAAATCTTTAGTAGAAATTGAGTGCGCTTGCGAATATCAATGTGGATGCAGCTGCAATGTTGCACAACACGACGACATGCAATCTATCCCTATTAACGGCTTTCTTAAGTTCACATTAAGCTTTTAGGTGTGAACAAGACGCACATGTTTTTATTGTCACGCCGGCAAGTACAGCGTCAAGAAGATAACTAGATAGATCAATACAGCCCCATTTTGCGGGAGGTTTGCTTCTTCTGAATGCTGGAGTAATGCCATCTGACAAACTGATGGAGTGGGTGGAGGAGAGAGAGAGAGAGAGAGAGAGAAAGAGAGAGAGAGAGAGAGAGAGAGGATGGCAGCTCTGGTTGGGCGGATCTGACACTGGTTTGAGTTCGGACCGCCTCTCCCGATCCCCTCCTTCAAGCCTCTGGGGCTGCTGCGCTCGTGTTTAGTTTCCCTCTCATAGTCAAAGGAAGGATCGATTCCTTTGGGAAGAGACACAAATCACTTCAATTTGATCAAGAGAGAGCTAAGGATACAGCCTCCTCTTGATTTAGCCACTTTTGAGGTTCTTTTTTTTTTTTTGGCCTGACAAAGAAAAATCGGAGAAAAAGAAGACAAGAGGAGAAAAGTTGTTAGGTCATGATGACATTTGATATGAGATCTGCTTGATCGCACCAGCTGCTCCCAGGAAACATTATCAGCAGCACAAGAAAAGACGACTTGGTTTTTGTTTCCACTTTCAGGCTTGGTGACACCGGGATCTGTCCTGGTTTCCAAACTCCTTCCCATCTCTCTCTCTCTCAAGCGCGCGCGCGCGCTCTCTCTCTCTTTTACGCACGGGAGGTGGGCACCTGAGAACACTACCAACGGGAAGAGAGTGCGAGACATCCCGGTTTCATGTTTGGGATTCAGGAGAGCATCCAAAGGAGTGGGAGTATTTTGAAAGAGGAGCCCATCGGAGCCGGCATGAACGCAGTCCGAACATGGATGCAAGGCGCCGGGGTGCTGGATGCGAACACGGCCGCGCAGAGGTAAGAGACCCCCGGGGCTGCGACTGCGATCACCTCCCACGGAGCGCGGACCGATCGTGCTGCTGGCGTTTGTTTTGAGGAAACTCGATCCGGATCGTGGAGGATTAAGCCTTTGATGCGCTTTGCTTTGTCGTTTAGTGAGCTTTGATGAGTTCCTTTGGATGCAAAGTTTGGGTACTTTGCCAAAGCTCACCTTCTTTTGCATGCAGTCACATCTGGAGGTCCTAAGACCACTGGATTGAACATGCTGGAGAAATAATAAGAATAATAATTGCCTTATAATAGCCTAATAATAATAATAGCTGATAATAATAAAAATGATGAATTCATTAAGATTTCGCATATACACATGTATAGGCATTTTCAATTCTCCATTCAGTGGGACTAGAAATTAAAAATCCACTTTATTTCAATAACACGTCTATAATATCTGAAGGATGTTTTTAACACGGGCCTTTCTGCGTGTCTTCCCCGCAGTGGAGTGGGACTGGCCCGGGCGCACTTCGAGAAACAGCCGCCCTCAAATCTGCGCAAATCCAACTTCTTCCACTTCGTTTTAGCCCTTTACGACCGACAAGGACAGCCGGTGGAAATCGAGAGAACCTCTTTTGTCGGATTTGTGGAAAAAGAGAAGGTGAGTTTCCTGAACGGGCTTCTTCAAAAAACTGATTTTCAGCACCACGATGTCACCGGGCCACTAAATAGCTATGATCGCATATGCCTTTATGTTTTTTTGTTTATTTTTATTTTTAAAAGTGCATATTATATGCCTAGTAAACAGCAAAATCATGCACATTTGAAAACCGTTGAAACAATTCACATGTGAATATAGCCTATTGAAATCATATGTGATCAGTATGATCCAAATTATTGCAATTGAAATAAACATTTTAGGAATTAAATCGGATAGTTATTTCATATGAACAATGCTAATACAGATCAATTTAAAATGTAAGATTAAGGTTTAATATGCATTTCTTACATTTTATAAATAAAATTCCCGAATAGGTCTGTTCATTTTGCATGCCTTCAAAACTCAGTAACCTGTATTTTTTTTCAGCCGCCATAACAGAATTTTTCAACCATTTTAATAGAGCAAAATGTACATATTTATAAAAATGTAGGTCATGCATTAAATGCATGTAATGTTATATAAGTAATATGGCCTATAACTTACTATAATGCTATATATGACTAGCTACTTAGTGACATAACATAATACAGCTAAGAATAAATTAATTTGACCTCATACATTAAATTCAATTAGCCTACTAATTCTGTTTTGTTTAGCTATACACACGCAGTTAAAAAAAAAAAAAAAAGTATAACAAAAACAGTATTTGCGCTACAGCTGATTTTATTGAACAGGCCCAAACGATATCATTTTGTAAGCGCAGTAACTTTCCTCCCATTACTACCTATGTAGCGTATGATTTCAGACCTGTTGTAATATTATTTTCATGCACAGGAGACTACAGGAGAAAAGACAAACAATGGCATACATTACAGACTGCAACTTCTCTACAGCAACGGTAAGACATGCTCCTATTTGCGCGCGACGCTTCAGTTTGCGCACTTTCATTGATCGTGATTTGCAATTCATTGCACTAAAATAGCAACAGTAGCAGGTGCTGTCATTAGAGATCTCAATTTGACGAAGATTGGCAGTGATTTAAATCAATAATTTAACCGATCGAGACTGTTTCTGTCTGAACAATTAAACGCAATCAGTGATTGACTCCTCGACACCAACTAATTCTCATTTACTTTCTTCAAATCAAAGCATGGCTCTTCACAATGAATCAGTTTGATTTTAAAGCATTAATAATTCACTCAAGGTTTAAATCAATTAGAAACCCATTTCCAACCATGCACGCGGTATTAATAGTTAATGTGTTTTTCTTGGAGGGAGTGTGAATTGATCATGTTCATTAGTGTGTAATCTGACAGCCTGTCTATCATTTGTCATCTGGTCAGTTTTTAATAAACCAGCTGTTAGTTCTGCCACCTCTCAAGCATATTGTGCACGGTGCTTTTGTAAACGTTTTCATCACTAGTTTCCATCGCAATAATTTCTGTCATTTTGAGTTTTGATTTTATTCATCAGTATTACAATTCAAAGTATAGTTGAAAAGCAACGGCAAGTCGTGATTTTGGCACCATTTAGATTTGAATTTAAATAATTAAACTATATTCATTTTTAAATTCAATGTGTTTTCATAAAGAATTAACCATATAAATTAGTCATTAGAAAGTAGTATATAAACTGTTAATTATGATATGTGACATGGGCAGGTGTGTTCAGTGTTAAAGTTATAATTAGGCTATACATTTTTTCCATCACAAAATATCTTCTCTAAAAAAATGATAGTTCTTTAGTTCTTTAATGTATATCTTCCTCTATAAATATAGTATGCGAAAATACTTTGTTTGACATATATGGCATATATTGTTAATTTAATATGTGGACATATTACAATACAATTAGGCTTGTGTTATTTCAGGAGCATTATGCTTGGTGCAATTACAGTGCATTGCAATGGCCGATTTAGAGATAATGAATGTGAATGTGTTTGTGGAAAATGTAATGAAAAGCACGTGCTGATGTCAAGTTTCTGTGTGTTCCAGGCATCAGAACAGAGCAGGATTTTTATGTAAGGCTAATTGACTCCATGACTAAACAGGTAAGGGTTCATCTCGTCCTATGCACCACCATCTGCGCATGTCACCAGAGGCTAATTCATACATGTTGGGGCATGCATACATACTGTTTGTGCCCCGTACAGATGAATCTCACAGCGGAGAGCATGCGTATCTCCCAGGGGCAGTGTCACATTTTTACATGCAACATTGGATGTCCTGTGGCCTCTTTTGGACTTTTTCTGCTCGACGGTTTGAAAGTTTGTTTGGTGTTTAACTGTGCGGCAAAGAGTGTATTTTTAGGGCACCCATATTTTTTTTCCGGATTTTTCTTATCAGTTTAGCTCTTTCTAGACTTTTCGTGAACATGTTTGTGTTTCCCGTTGGTGTGGTTCACATGTCATGCTCGGCTGCTTTCTTCTGAACTCTAGCTTGTTTCATTTCTAGTATGTACAATATGGCAGATCTACATTATTAGTGTTGCCTGTTTCCTGTTTCCTGTTTGATTTTATCTGTCACCGAAGACATGTGTGGCCCTGGGCTAGTGTCTGGATGTTTTGTTTTTTTTCTGACCTTGGATCAGCCCTAATTAGCATGTAATGGGAATTAGCGATTAGCAAAGAGAAACATATCCGTGTTTATTAGCCGCCTGCTGCAAACTGAGAAAGGCACCACGCTAGGCTCTTTACACTTCGCTAACGGTCGCTAACTTACCTGCGGGCGGCAGCTCCCTCTCCCTCCCGCCTAAGTTGCGTGGCGGGAAACATCAAAGCGCATTAAACCCCAGTAGCTGCCACTTTGACAGCGCTAGTCTGGCAGTAGGTAGAAGAGCTGTTGTTTCCTAACTATCTGCTTTGCTGCACTTCGTGGGAGGACATGGCACTTTTGAGCGAAGTGTCGCTAGAGCGCTGTTTACCAGTGTCAAGTTAAAAAATAATCACCCAGACGCCTCGGCTTCCCCCTCACAAATCTTTTGTAGTTGTTTGCCGGCAGTTTTCATGTCAGTGTTCTCGGAATATATTTAGCACTTGTATTCATTATTTTCACGCAGGTATTACAACACGTGTAATAGAAGTCACAAGGAATGAGATTGCGATCCCCTTTGCTGCCGCATTGTGTGCGGGAAACTTTCAGATGTGAAGACAACCTATGGTTAAATCACTCGCTAAAGGGATCCGCTTAGAACTACACTTAAAGATTGGGGAACATGTGTAACGGCAGTCGGAGGATATCAAATCCCCTTCTCCAACGACAAGACAGCTAGTTACCTTGTAACAGCTCAAAAAGCACTGTAGCGAGTGATATATTTACCGCGCCAACAGCTCGGTCGGCTGTTGTCTTTGATTTCCTCAGGTGAATGAGAGCGAGAGAGAGTTCGGGATCAGATGTGGTTTCGCTCTGGGGCAGTCAGACCTGTTGAGAGGGTGAAATGAGACCTGGATACCGGCTGACCACAGGACAGCTACAGGTGTCTCGGCCCATGTTGCGGCTCGGGCTAAAAACAAGATTTCAGATTGAAGAGTAGACACTCTTGAGAAGGGAGTGCGGATGTTACTCCGCTGGCAGTCGTTATCGGGTTACAGACGACCTGAGTACCCTGTTGAAAAAACCAGCATATGCTGGTTAGGTATGTTTTGACGCTGGGATGCTGGTTTAAGCTGGTCCTTTGCTGGTTTATGCTGGTCATGTGCTGGCAAAGGACCAGCATAAACCAGCAAAGGACCAGCTTAAACCAGCAAAGGACCAGCATAAACCAGCAAAGGACCAGCTTAAACCAGCAAAGGACCAGCATAAACCAGCAAAGGACCAGCTTAAACCAGCAAAGGACCAGCATAAACCAGCAAAGGACCAGCTTAAACCAGCAAAGGACCAGCATAAACCAGCAAAGGACCAGCTTAAACCAGCAAAGGACCAGCATAAACCAGCAAAGGACCAGCTTAAACCAGCATCCCAGCGTCAAAACATACCTAACCAGCATATGCTGGTTTTTTCAACAGGGTAATCTTTTGTGATGTTCGATATCCCCGTCGGCCTTCTGTAATCACTCAGAAGCGGCCGTGAGATGCTAGTTATTGGGCTGTGGAGTGAGTTAAAGTGCGACATTAATGACATTTCGCAGACCGAAAGGTCCATTCTCCGTCGTCAACGACGTATGACGCACAGCTCACACAGAAAGTCACTTTCAAACCAAGCAGTTTTCTCATGACCTTTGCGCGAAATTTCCAATCGCACGGATTCCTGGCCGAATCACTGAACACAGAGCGCAGCGCTGATTCAAATTTGTTAGCAAAACTGTTACTTTCTAAGTGGCTGTGGGAACAAGTGCTAATCACAGAGGCTGCTACAGTGTTTCGTAATACTAGCAAGGCTAAAACACTTACACTCAAAACAGCTAAAACAGCTTTAGCTTGGACTGTAATTAGTGTCCAGATTTGCTGTTATACTGCGGGTACAGAGCTTATTATTCTGTGGCCAGACTGATTTACTCTTGCAACTGCGCAACAGTTACGCTTGTTATTTTGGTAGTTACTGTCACAGGCAAATTATTGGATTCAGCAGATACCGTAAACATCTCAGTGTTTTACATTTCAAGCTATAGTGCTAATTTACTGCATCTGTTGTTTTAGCAGTGGCCTAGCGGTTAGCATATGTGCTCCGACTCTGACATGCTGAGCTGTAGCGCATTTCTCTTTTGTTTTGTATTGTTTTGTTTTTCATGCTTTTAACATGTATTTAACCCAGAATACTTGAGTTTAGGTGGCTGAGGGAAGAATACTTCACACGCTAAGATTCTAGCATGCTAATTCAAGGAATAGTAACGTGTGTTAAATGCAAACCCCGCCCCACAGTTTTCATTGGTCAGCTCAATCACTTGGTCACCTGTCAAGAAAAGTTTAAAATTCATGGATTGAGTTCAGAGTTCAGAAACATCACAAATGGTTCAGATTGCGACAAGCAGTAATGTTTTTTATCAGGATGTGCTATCGAGGCTATACCAAGGTTAACGTTAGGCATTAGTATTTGCGTAGACAGTAAATACTGTGATTGACGTGACCAATGAAATCTTTAGAATTGGCAGTGGGGCGGGATTTGCACTTGACAGGTTTGGCGAAAATAATCACACCTTTATACTGGGATTGCAACTCATAATGGTGCACAAGAAGGAGCTGGGGACGTGGGGGGCTTTTAGGTGTGAGTTTGACAGTTAGAACTGTGATCAGCAGATTCAGCGCCGACACAAACATCTGACAAACATAGCGCAGAGACAGCAGACCTCCCACGTTCCTCCCTCATCTATCCTACTTTTCCTTTTCCTCTCTCATTACCTCCTGGATTGTTTATGTTTTTAAGATGCAGTGCGAGATGTTCGTTGTTTAGCTTGAGCTAACTTGAGCTTGAGCTAAACTTAACCAGTGAGTCAGACCACGCCCTCTCTCCAAAACCCCGCCCTCCAAAGGCAGATCAAATGCAAAATGCATTGCGATTGGCTTGGCAATACACATTTCTTTTCACGTGGCTTTATCAGTTTTTTTAACCCATCCACTCCACAACTCTCTTCTTTTCAGCCTTGTTTTGTTCCCTGTTCTCCTGCTCAAATTCTCGCACCGTCTAGAAGTCCCTCAGATGTCGGTTAGCTGTCTCTAGAAACCCTGCGTCTATTCTCCTGTCTGTCTGCCTGCCCAACTCTTGCTCTCTCTTCCGCTTCTCTTGTTTCTCAGGCTTTATGTCTGAACAGCTGATCAGGGGTGGGGTGGGATACTTATTCGTGTATGTGAACGCTTCTGTGTGTGTGGGAGAACAAAGAGTGAAATCACTGCCAAGACAGCACCTCTTTAAAGGTAGCGCAGTGGCCTGGGAAAAAAGGCAGCCGTGTTCTTAATGGCATGCTAACAGATGATGCCAACTGTGTAGGAAGTAGGTTTCCATGTATTTATAGCATCTTGTTTACTTGCCTTCGATTTCAGACGTCACATCAAAGCCAGTGAGGAAAACGCTGGATGAAATATGAAAAGTGTGCTTGGCGAGATGAAATATGTATTACAAGGCATATGAATGTTGCATGCTTGTTAATGTGCCCTTCTCGCACTTTGGCACGCAGTTAAAGCTGCCCTAAATATCACACTTGTAACATTAACATAGGGTAATTTTTTATGCGCCACCTTTGCACATTCGATGTTCCTTCTAAATCAAAAAGAATCTATTTCCTGCGTTTATCACAGCACTTCCTGTTCTTTGATCGCAGTAAAACGCAGCCAAGGCCTTTAAAAGTTATCAAGATGGCACACTTTAAGAGCCGGTAACCTAAAATTTCCCTTTTGAGAGCGCTTAATACAAACAAAATATACAAAGACTAATTCATCTTTATATGAGTCGCTTCCATTTGTATGACTGGAGGAATTTGTGACTCTACAGGCAAAGCATTGTGTTTCATTCACTGGACAATTTTGAGATTTTGGACTATTAAACTTCCATAACAAAAGACTAGTGGAAAGAAATATTCAAATTACACATTTAAGTGTTTATTTTATTACACTTTCATCTGTAGATTTCAATTACAATATCTTTAAATATCTTTTTCTTTCTGAGCCAGAAATCTCGACTTCAGTAGCACTTGCATACACCTTTACTGTTTTATTCTTACCTACTGTATATACCTAAGGTTTTTCAGAAGGTTTTGTTTATATCATTTGCTTGATTTATATAACATTTGATTACTAAAAAGTTTTTTTTTTTTCTATTTCCCTGGCTGTTGAAAATATGTTATGGTTCATAAAGTGACAAAAAGAGAGATCCTCTCTGTGAAAGCCTATACCTGAAATAAATACATAAATAAATAAATAAATATTCAGATTTTGGCTATATTCAATATTTCCGCAAATGTATGCAAATTAGTGTATATTTAATTAGACATTTCCTCATTTGCATATTAAAAAGATTCAGAAAACTTGTAATACAAAACAATCAATTTTAATGTATTGTGATTTTTAATCTAGTCAACTGTTTTTTGCTTTGACAAAAGCAGCATTAAAAAAAACAAAACATGAAATGTTATTATGTGAGAAAAAAAAACAATAATGTGCATTCATTAAATACGTAGGGTAAATGGTTGACTTTAATGGCGGGATATTACCCGAATTACATTTTATAACAGATTCATAATATTTTATTAAGGCATTAAAGCAAGTGGAAGAATACCGCTGTTCCCGAGCACAGCTCAGCCAGAATGGGCGAAGATAGATTTGGTGTTTATAGATAGAAATATGAAGCAGGTCTTTGGGCTGGCAGACAGTGATGCATGCTGTGTACTTCTAGAAGACCTTGGCCCCCATTCCCTCAAAGTGAAAGAAAACCATCTGAACAAATGCTCCGAGCTTGCCAACTCCAGCACTGGCTGTAACAATATCGCTTTCAGTGCCTTTGTATAATGTAAAGTACATCTGAAAGACATCAAACAATGAGCCAATGTATCGTCTGTCTCTGGATATTTCTCCTGTCAAATTACCCTTTTCTTGGTTGATAGAACTTTGCGTCAGTGTTTTTTTCCCAGTTAAGGTCAATGTGACAAACTTTTTTGATGCTGGACAGGCTTGCTGAATTACACCTCCGTTACATGGCAGAGAGTAATGACTGTGCGTAACGGGACAGATTTGCTGCCAGTCGGTATGCCTACGAACGAGATCCCAGAATCTTAGCAAGGTGACACGCTTGGCATAGTCAAACGCAGCACTGTTCGGAATGGCATACCATGTCCAACATTCAGCTCGGGGAGGAGGGGGGACACACAAGGCTTTGCCAGCCTGGCAGCGCTGTGTTTTGTGTTAAGGAGGGGTGAGAGCAAAGCCGAGAAAATTTGGGAGAAAACTGGGGGGCCATACCAGATGGTGCACCGTGCTCCAGTCTGGCATCCCAACTGCTCTCTCGCACCCACCTCCTCCAGCCTCCTGCCTCCCCCCACCGCCCCTGTGCCACACGCCACTGATGGTTTGGCACGTCACATGCTAGCGTAGGTAGTATGCCAGTGAGCGCATAGGCACTTCACATTTTTACCCATGAGTGAGAGATGCAAAAATGAAAGAAAAAGAGTGAGTGAGTGAGTGAATTGAAGAGATAAATACTGTTATATGAAACAGTAATATTGTGAAACATAAAATAACTGTTTTCCATTTGAATATATTTCCCCTTGTAATTTATTCCTGTGACATTAAAGCTGAATTTTCAGCATCAGTCCTCAGTGTCACATGATCCTTCAGAAATCATTCTAATATGATGATGATTTGGTGTTTGACTATTATTGGTGTTTAATTATTAATAATGGTTCTTATAATTATCAATGCTGAAAATTGTTTTTGCTCTTTAATATTTTGTTGAAACCCGGGAAACCTTTTTCAAGATTATTCAATAAATAGAAAATTCAAAAGAGCAGCATTTATTTAAAATATAAATGTTTTGTAACATTATAAATATCTTTCCTGTCCCTTTTGATGAATAAAAATATTAATTTCTTGTAAAAAATACCTGAAACTTTTTAATGGTAGAGTATCACACAAATATTAAGCAGCACAACTGTTTTCAACATTTATAATAATAATAAATGTTTTTTTTTTTAGCAGCAAATCAGTATATAACAAGTTATTTTAAATGGTAATGATGTTTCACAATATTACGGTTTTACTGTATTTCTGATTAATAAATGCAGCCCTGGTCTTTGAAACACATTACAAATCTTGTTCCAAACTTTTGACTGATAGTGTAGCCTATGTAATTATGTTAAAATTCGTAAAACATGTTAAAATTATGTTTAAATTTCTTTAACCTGTCCCGAAGTACACAAAACTTCATTTGGAGACTGAATAAGTGAGTCAGATCTTGATTCGCAATCCACTCTGACTGATTAATTGAGTTATTCGTTCATTCATAGGTACACTAAAAAGAACTGGCTCATAAGACTTATTTTTTTCGTGAATCAAACTACACTAGTCACGCCGTATACTTTGATTCAGCAAAAAGCAGCTCGTAAGACATTTGCTTGTGAATCGGACAAGACCGGTGGCATTGTTTGTTTGATTCTTTTTACGTTTAGCGTGCAAGTATAACTAAATAGAGTTTTCTTGTGGGTTTTTTTTTGTGTGATATGGTGTCTTTTTGAAATACTGTTTTGGATATAAATGGATAAATCGTCTTTACCTGCAGTACAGAGTCGTTCACAAGCTGCACGCACTGCTGCTTCGTCGTTGACAAATGATTTTGCTATGCTTGTTTCTTACATTGAATGGATAGTAGGTAAATATCCACCCTCAATCAGCGCTCATTTTTTCTTATCTTATAAAATATGCCATTACTATTTCAGTGTGAGTAATCGTGGCAAATGATTCAGTGCGTAAGTGAACAGTCTGAATTCATCAAACTGAATCGCGATTTTTACAAACCCGTATGACCAATTAGAACAAAAGAGTGATTCATTCACGAATCTGGCATGCTAGTTCTGATTCTAAATAGCTGATAGAAAACACACAACATGATTGCTGAAATATTGCTGGTATATGTGAATCCCATTGACAAATAACAATTTATCAATAAAATTTTGATACAGCTGCATTTCACAGGGGTTTGTGCCCCAGTAAAAACGGTCTTGCAATGCTATATTGCAGAAGTAAATTTGTGAACCGTATTTATTGTTGACTTTCAGCTGTATGATTTTGATGAATATGTTTTCCCTTATCCATAGGAATCACTGTCATTACCTCTCCCGCTTGTTAGAATCTGAGCAACCAGTTACGTTTCGTATCATCTCCTCCACCTACAACAGGTGTTCTTCGGCTTGTTACCCATCCCTCAAATCGTTCGGAGCTTGTGCTATTGTACATTCCAGCCTCTACCACGTTACCCCACCTCAGCCCCAAGCCCTGTAGGGAGAGTAAATACCTGAGCGAGAAGTGAAACAATGAGCCCTTCTTATTGGAGCACCTTCATTTCTCACCTTCTGTTTTCCTTTACGTAATGAGCCACGTGTGGAGCCAGAGCTCTGGACAGCCTGTCCAGAAATATTGGAACCGCTTAGACGATTCCCCACGACACATACTGATATTTATTAAATACGACCAGGCCAACAGGCTTTAAAGGCAGAATTATGCCTCCTCGCAGCGTGTTTCTCAAGTGGAATTGGCTTGAATGTGGGGGTGAATAAGTGGAGGAAATGTTTTTTTTGGGATGTTGTGTGGTCAGTGTCAACTTTCTGAAATATATATTTGGAAACATCTTCATATGTAATATGCTTCATTTAATTTTGATTTCCCAAAATGTTAAATAAAGCCCGTGTGAGTCCAAACACTGACTTTTTCCCCCTCTCTGTTCAAAGGCCATCATATATGAAGGTCAGGACAAGAATCCGGAGATGTGCCGTGTGCTCCTGACTCATGAAATCATGTGCAGGTGAGACTTTTTCCATTACACTTTGTCCCAACCAGGTGCGATGCGACAAGTTTTGTGACAAATGTGACAAAAACACATTTTTTTAAATAATAATTATAAATAACAATTCAGTTCATTCCACTGGCTGAAAGATCTTTTAAAGGTGGGGTAAGCGATTTCTGGTAGCCTACACCGGACACGAGTGGCGCGGCGCGACAAAATACTATAGAACACATTATAATCAGTGATGCTGTCTACCATAGATATATATACATATCTATGGTCTACACTGATGCGGCGCGGCACTACACGACAAATCCCCGACAGAAACTGCTGCTGCGTTCTATTCATGACGTATTGACAGAAATTTCAAATGATTTTCAACGGTCACTTTGTCGCATCCAGTCTACTAGACAGACTTTAGCTGTTGCGGCGCAGACACGGTGTTACTCACCTATTGAGAAGAAACGAAGCAACATCGGCGTCCGATCGCAGTGCCTTCCGCTCCTTGAGTTCTCTCCAGGTGAAATCACCAAAACAAACATGCCCCTATTTTGATAGCTCCGCCCCACACATACGTATGCAACCCAGGCAACTATTAGTTCTGTGAAACAAAGCAAAACCAATGTCACGCCGTGTCTACACCGGACACGAGTGGCGCAAAAATACTATGGAACTCATCATAATCAGTGATGCTGTCTACACCATATATATATATATATATATATATATACCATAGATATATATACATATCTATGGTCTACACTGATGCGGCGCGGCACGACACGACAAATCCCCGACAGAAACTGCTGCTGCGTTCTATTCATGACGTATTGACAGAAATTTCAAATGATTTTCAACGGTCACTTTGTCGCATCCAGTCTACTAGACAGACTTTAGCTGTTGCGGCGCAGACACGGTGTTACTCACCTATTGAGAAGAAACGAAGCAACATCGGCGTCCGATCGCAGTGCCTTCCGCTCCTTGAGTTCTCTCCAGGGCTGGAAAACTGATCCGATATTTACACGGGTCCTACTTCTTGCCTTATTGCCTTAAGCCTTCTTTTCTTCCACAGATGTTTTCCTCTTTTGTTTTTTATCCGCCATCTCTATCTTTCTGTCGCTCGGCTCACTAATGTCCGTCCTGTGCACTGAACGCTCTCTCCTCCACATCATGAGTAGACACGCCCCTTACTGCTGATTGGCTACAAGTTTGTTTTGCTAGTCGGCCCAAATCTGTTTCCTAAAGCGTTTTTGAAAAATCGCTTACCCCACCTTTAATTGGTGCTTTATTCAGTACCTTATTAAAAATCCTTATGTCATCTGAGCAATGTTATTGTGACCAATAATGTGTTTTAAATTCTATTTTACATATTAGTGCAACAGCAAATATATGCATTGTTAAATTACATTTCTCTGTTATGTTTTGAAAACTAATAGAGTATTAGCATACTTTAAGCTAATTTTATACATACAATTTTTTGATTAGGCATTACAAACTACTACACTCAGGGGTCCTAGGCAGATTCAACTCAATGGGATAACTGAATTGTTCATGACACCGGAAAACCATAATGGGGTAGAATCCTGCAAACAAAATCATTCAAGTCATTAATATTAATTCATTAATATTTTTAGTCCAGGACTGTAAATGTTTAAACATCAACTCTAAAGTTGCTATTTGGGAGGACACTAGCTAATAAACATGGACTGCCGCAAAAACTCACTCTGTGAGACTTGCTACTGCCAATACATCCACAACATGCTGCTTGTGAGCATGTAAGAAATTTTGCTGCTGCAAATATAACATACATGAAATAACCCCATATAGCATACATGAATCACCTTGTAGCAGATCTATACAGGTGGAGCTGGGGAAGGTGGAGGGTTTCTGAAGCAAGCTGCACTGCTACAGCAAGCACTATTCATATATTTGAATGTTGAGCAGCGAGCTCATTGGCTACCGATACAGGAGAGAACCAATCAGCTGTGCCATGTGATAATGATGTCATTAGGTCAGATTGAGTTAGATCTATCGGACTGCGCCATCTAGAGTTTCATGCCAGAACTCTGTAATTGGAATGAGTAGTATGTCCGAATTCACAGAACTCATAAAACTGTAGGCAAAAAGTACCTGGAAATTTCTGCTGAGTTTCTGAAATACGCATCTGATGGATGCTTTACTATCCACAGGAGACGAGTTGTGAATAACAGTGAAGAGACGCAACTGGCGCTCTGAGTCACATGACAGTGACAGCATGGCGGATGTAGTACATCTGGATTTCATTCATACTACATATGTTCATGCTATGCTGAACATTCTTTTCTAACATTCGCAAAGTTATGCGATTTCGGACACAGCTTTAGATTTTGATTTCATGGGGTATTTTATATTCAGGGATGTTGAACCAATGAGATTTCGCTCTGTGACCATCAAAACGTCCTGCTGCTTGTCACTTTACTCTGTTGCCCGGGACACTCTAGTGCTGTATTCTGTCTCAATTCATACTAATACTATCCAGGTCAAATTCGCAAACCCCTAGTGAACAACAGAGAGAGAAAAAAAAACAAGTAGAAGATGATTTTTCTATCAAATGCTATGTATTTAATTAACATCCAAAGATGAATTTGCTTAAAAGTAGGTTGTGATGATCGACTTGCGCCTATTTTTAGTGGTGTTTTAACAGTGCCGCCCACCCTTGTAACCCCCCATGAATATCACCCTGATGCCTGGTTAATTAGGACAAGCAGAAACTCATTACTCAATCTGAAATATCAGTCTGCTCCGTTAACAAATGTGCCCTGGCTCACGTGACATCTATGAAATATATGCCAATGAATATCACACCCTGATGCCTGGTTAATTAGGACAAGCAGAAACTCATTACTCAATCTGAAATATCAGTCTGCTCCGTTAACAAATGTGCCCTGGCTCACGTGACATCTATGAAATATATGCCAGGTTTTACCAGCAACGCATCACGCAACTTAAAGGTGTTATATAGGCACTTTCGCAATAAAAAAGCGAAAGTGCCTTTTTTTTTTTTTTACTGTTAGAACTGACAGCAAATGTATACACAAACTGATGTAGTCTTCACCCCCCACCTGCCAAATCAGCATTGATAGGCAATCGTGTATGTGTGCGTGAGATAGCCTGTATGCGTACCTTCAAATGCTGCCGCAATTATAAGCAGAAAATTAGGCTGTTCACCATTAATCAGTTCCACTAATTGCCACGCACCACCATTAGCCATATGGTGCCATGCCAGCTTGCAAGTACGGGACAAAAGTGCTTATTCCTATCATTTGAACAAACTAGGGGGAGAAAAAAAAACAGGGAATGTGTTTCAGGATGTTGTTTGTCGTGAAACTGGCCAAAATTGTTCTTCTAAAGACTAAAGTTGTCATAACACAAATCCAATGTCATGAATCAAAGGAATCATGGAAAGGAAACATATGTTGGAGGCATGTGATGGTAGCCACGTTCCAACGTTGACAGAGCCGACTACATCCTGCTAATTACATGAGCCCATTTAGACATTTCTTCAAAAGCCGCATCAGGAAGGAAGCGTTAAGATCTAAGATGCTATTTCCTTTGGGTGTCCTACGGGACGATCTTGAAGAGGATCAGGAAAAAGATTATAACCTTCCCAACCTCCCAATAAGCTAATATAGGCATGCAATAATTACTTGCAGTTGTATTTGCTAAGGCAAGTGCTTATTATTTTTTCATACTTAGTGTTAAGTGTTTTTTCAAATATATAAACTCTATAAGTGCAATATAAGTGCTACTGACCTCAAATAAGTTATTGTTGATAACCACATGAAGTAGCAATGCGATAGTAGGCTCAATATTGTGTCAGGTTTTTTATTTATTTTTGTTTTGTCCAGATCTATTAATTCATTAAAAAATATATTAAAAATGCAACACATATATGCAATGACTTTAATACGTATATTTCTTTGATGAGCATGTTTTAATGTAATTTTATTTTATTTTTTATTTTAAACTGGAGACAGAACTGCTTGGCTGGTTATTAATATTTAAAAAAAAATATTTGTCATGTGGTGCAACCAACATGCAGCGAGTACCCTTGAAGACCTTTATGGCTGTGTTAAGGTCAATAAGTCTTTTAAAATATTGGATATTTTAATCTTTTTATCACAAGGCATTGTTATAATAGGTTGTAAAATGTCATGTAGTGTAGCTCCTCAAAACAATGATATTTATGAATTAATAATCCATGATATTTCTATATTTTAAATATTTTTCAAGGTAAAAAAAATGATCTACAACAATATTTATTACATATATTTAATAAATATTTATTTATATATATATATATTTTTTGAAAGTTGTGTACACACATTAAAGGTTTAGGAAAATATGTTATTACTTTTTACTTGATGTTTATATCACACAGCATTTTTGGTCGTTACATTTAATCCTTTGTTGTAAAAAATAATTGCTGCGACTGGTTATCACAACTTAAAATTCAACATTGGAATAAGTAATAATGTGTTGTTTCAACTTAAAGTGTTTGAGCTTGACGTAAAATGATAAGTTTAGTTTAGTTAGATTGGATATCTCAAAAAAAAAAAAAACAGTAAATTTGAAGTTGTTATAACTAAATGTAGCAATTTTTTGAAATGTGTAAACATTTTTCAAAACCAAATGAGAACAACATGAATACTGACCCATCATAGACCAATTAACCATAAAAAAAATGCAACAGCAATGCACTCTCAACCACCCGCAACACTCTTGCATCATGCCAGTGAGTTTTGCATAAGAAAAATGTAGTTAACAATATTTCTCTTTAATTGTTTTGAATGTGTATCTATAAACTTGAATGCTCAAGGTTCGGTGTATCAGGAGCTAAATTGTGTCTCCCATGGGCGCTGCCGGATTTGATCATTAGGCTCCTACAAATCTTCTTCCTGCACTGTATAAATACACACACACACACACACGCACAGAGGCACTGCAATCCCTTGTTCCAGTCCTTTGGGAGGACACTGACCTAGTTGAGGAAGCCTTGCAGAAGGAGGGGCGAGAGAGATAGAGATGTAGATGTAGATAGAGGGAGAGAGAGAGAGAGATTTTAGTCTTCTATTCATGATGAGTTTCTAAAGAAAGACATTCATCATGCATACCTGAAGAAGTATATTATATAAATCACATACACATGATTCCTCATGAATAAGCATAGTACATCTCATGATACGATCTGAACGTTTGTAGTCCGTGAATTAATGATAAAGTCTATTGATACGTCTAAAAACTGTGTCATTGGAGAAAATAGGGAGCTGGAAATGAGGTAACAAGAGAAACCGTGAGGTGGGAGGGTGGAAGCAGAGAGAGTTGTGGGAGGAAGAAAAACTGAAGGGGGAAAGACAATGCCAGGGGTGTAATGTGACAGTTTTGTCCCCAGCCCTTATTCAGTGTCCTACTGCCATCTGTGCGGTGGAAATGTGATGCCGGTGGTCTCCAAACCGCCGCTGAAGCCCCTCGCACACCTTAAATTCTCCTCTCGTCATTCTGCTAAACCTTCATCACCTATGCAGATGCAGAGAAGGTCTAGCAGTCCCATTGAAAGTGCTTAACGTGTTAACGTGGCGGTAACAAACTCCAATACACAAGGTGGCGATAGAGTTACAGTTTAGCTTTTAGGTCAACAATTACTAATTGCTTTCTTCATGCATGTTATTGTGCAAGATTCATCAGTTAAAATTATTCCGAAGAAAAAAGGTCCTTCATCTATTCAATTTGAAGCCTCTGAAACGACTTTCCTTTTTGAGTGATGTCACCAAGCCCCCGTTTAAACCCCCATCTGACTTTTGAGTTAAATGACTGTTGGATAAAATCTAGTCTAGCTTGCTTATCTAAGCATTTACATTGAGGTTCTAGCATTGAGTATGTTTCTTTGTCAACGTGTTATACAATAGAATTGTGCATGAAACTTAATGGACAAAATACAAATGCAAAGACATGAAAAATATGACTTGCTAAAATAACAGACAAAAAAGGTGGTTTCGATTTTACTTATGACATAGGATGTCTGATTGAAACTGATATTTTCTTTTTTTTCAGTCGCTGTTGTGACAAAAAGAGTTGCGGGAACCGCAACGAGACACCCTCGGATCCCGTCATCATCGACAGGTAGGAATCTCTCCCTCATTAACACTTCCTGACACTGTTTGTGTTCCTGAAAACATCTGATACTTTCATTGTTATCGTCATGCTGTTTGAGGCTGTGGTTGACGTCGCTTTTGAAGCAGTTCTCAGGACATGCTGGAGTCTTACGGCCGTCACAGTCTGTTGTGTGTGTATGTTTGAGTCACTTGTTAGTTAAATGCTCTGTCATGTTGTTTCTTTTGCTGCTATTTTTTTTTCACCATGTTCTTTTTGTTGTGGGTTCAGGATTGGCTGAGCTCAAACACTTGATAATAATGTGTCTTTGCCTGAGTAAATTACAGGCCTAACGGCTTTAGTCAAAGGCTAGTCTTTGTGTTAAAAGTGTTTAGTGAGTAATTTCTCTTGAGAACATGTTTGACAGTAAACATGTAAGCAATTTAGATAATATCTACATGGTATGTATTTCAAATTGAGATCTGGCCCGGTTCTGGATTATGGTTCCCCCTTAAGAAGTAAAAAAACACAGTGTTCTCGGTCTTTTTATTCTGTCTTAATCAAACCCACATGTATAATGGGCTGTGAAACAATAGACGCCAGAGACCCTTGGCCCCCCCTCATCCTCGCTACCCTGTTCTCGCCATCTCTCTCGATCCCCCGGGGCATCGCTTTCTTTCACCTAACATTCGTCTCTTTAAATCCAAAATTAAACCCCTGCATCCTTTATGAATGATGTAATTGTAATTGTAATAACGTTAGCATTAATGCTAATAGGATTCTTAGCGATGCTAAAGATTTCACAGTCCTTGAGGTAGTGTTTTCATTGCCGTTAATGTTGTTAGCTTCAGGCTAGCTTTGTGCAGTTATGTGTTTTGTAATGTGGAAGCTATTAGCCGACGTCTAAGGGCATTTATTTTGACAGGTCATGGTTCTCATGGGTTGAACAAAACAATCTTTTCCCCATTGTTGCAGCAACTGCTACGCTCCATGAAAATTGCTAAACGTTCCTTTGAGACAATATTTAGGCAAACGAGGTGAACATATCAAGAGCTGCTTAGCCTATTTGAGGAAAATCAGCACTGAATCACGTTTCATTTGGTCTCGCTAAAAAGGCCCTTGCTGGAATATATGCAGCTTCCCAACTTCCCAAGACCCCCTTTTTTCCATAATCTGCCCGTAACACTGGGAAAGGCCACAAATCAAGGGTATATCTCAGTGAGAATCTATTGCCGAAGGGGGGAAATGACTTGAGTTACACCACATGGAATGGTGTGTAAGAGTTATTGTGTGCAGATGACCAGACTAGGTTGATTTGTGATGTTTGTCAAAAGACCGTTCAGGCTCATTTGTGCAAATTAAACCCCACTGAGAAGAAAAAAAAAAATGTTTCCCACTCTGTCAGCTCTCCCGGTTCTGCTCTGCTTGTTTACTTCAGTTTTAGACAGCAGTCAGTAAGGAGCTGGACAGTTGCGGCTGTTCGGTTTCAGCCACTGACCCGTTCCTGCAGAATGGACTCAGGTGTGACTGGAGCTGCTCAGCCGACCGCACTCGGACACAACAGATCTGCCGCCCCCCCTTCATACCTGGCTCACGTGTTTGTGGGTAGCTGACACAGTTTATGCTTCACTTGACCAGAACGGGTCAGAACTCTTGGGAGCCAGCTGTGGCTCCCTTATACACGCTCATGCGCCTTTAAACCTCACTGAGCACACAGGCTCGATATGAACAGGCTGATGAACCTGCTGGAGGATCTCATGTGCATTGGTCCCATGTGCAGTGAGAAGGCCCACTAGAAGTTCTTGGTAACATCGAGGCCATCAAAAACTAAACATGTATACTGCATATAGGAGCGAATCTTCAGGCACCTCATCTTTTTAGGGAATCATAATAGTTCTCAATTCAGTTTTTGTGCATATATATATTATTTGTATTGTCGTGCAATTGTATTTTCTATGTAAATGCATTTATAACACTGTTGTTCTACATTAGAAAGTGTGTAAATGTGCCTTGGCATGGCATGTATCCAACCTCTGTGCTATCATTTAGCATAAAGAATGTTTCAACTTAGTGTAGCAGATGTTGCTGATTTTTAAAAACATTTTTTTTTTATATCTGTATTGTTTGTCCTGCATATTTGTTCTTTTTTTAACTACAATTCTGATTATGAATTTTTCTGCACTGACGCAGAATTGTGATGCATTTGTGCAGCAATTTTCCCCTCCCGCACTTAATAATCCTCCCACATATATTTCTTTGCATATAAAATCGTTTTTTTTATTCATAAAGGTGAGAGTGTTTGGATGTTGTGATCTGATCTGATTGTGTCACTCCTGATCTCTCGTCGCATGTTTCTGCAGCCCAGAGAAATGGGTCATGCAGGAAAGAACAAAAAGAAAAATAAATAAAAAGGTGAAAAAAAAGAAGAAAACAATCTAATTTTGGTATGTATTCTTGGCAGCTGCACATTTTCTCACAAGCTCAATGACAGCGTCTCGATTATGACTTATTATTTCTCCTAAATGCGTAACCTAAAGAAAAATAAATCCCAGTTCCGCCTTTTCCCTCTGAGTTATTTAGCTTGGTTAATAAGGGCTCATTAGCGTGCACTTCTTTCAACGAGCCGATTTGATTTCAAACCAGTAATTAGTCTGGCTATGGCTAATTCTGCTGGTTTTGCATTGAGAGTGATGCTCTAATTAGATACGCAAAGAACACAGCTAATCCAAATCTGCGTTAAAAACACTAATGAACCCTTATTATGCTGTTAAAACAACTAATTTTATATTTACTAAGATTCGGATTATAAACAACATCTGTAAACAAACAATAGCCACCCTCGCCATTTATCGACGATTATATTTGACCGAATTGTCCGACTGCGGGTTGTCGTTAGTTCTTTCGATTTATTCGCACAGGCAGGGGGAATACCACAAATCATAACCGCTCACAGAATTCGTAATGAACTCCACTGGGCGCTTCGATTTACGCCACATGTAAAACGATTCCTTTCATACTTATTTGTCTGGATCGCTTTATTTGTTTTATTTGAACCGCTCCCTCTCGCATTCATGTATGTGTGTGTGTGTGTGTTAGCTGTATAACATTAGCGACTCCTCAGCCGGGCCATATGTTCCTCTCGGCCTCTCCCTCTCCCGGACTGACCTTTCATCGGCTGTGTAAGATTATTTCCAATACTTTAATCCCGTCTCATTGACATGGACACAAAGCACACTGACATCTAATAGACGCCTCCTCACTTTCTCCTTTCTTTAATCACTTTCAGTTCAGGCCCTCCACCCCCACCTTCCTCCACTCCAACCCCTGCAGCCCTGGACGTCTATTGTTCACGTCTCATTTTATTCCAGACCCTCCCATCTCACTTCTGTTTATGTGCAGGGTGCCAAAAAAGCCTCGGATAAGTAGCCGTGTCCCTAAAATTAGCGTTAGGAGAAACAGTTTTTATTTTTATTCAAAGGGAGCTGTGTACTTGCTTTATGCGACGGACGGTAGCATGTCAATCGCAATCCTTTCCTCTCGGCCCGTTTCAAACATCTCCACTTACCAGCCGCCTATTATATCTGTGATATTAGATCCTCTGGCGCAGGAGGGGTACAGGAACGGGTGTGTGTTTTCTCGAACACACCACCAGAAGTTACTTGAACGCTCTGCCGTCGGCTGTTAGGATGTTTCATCTTCCCCTCTCAGAGGAAGTAGTTCTCTATCCACTCTGGGATCGCGAGGGCTCTTGCTCTTGAGGGATGTCAGAAGCTGTCAGAGGGGCCGGCGAAGAATGGAATGCGAAAGTTCCCGTGGATACCGTGGGACTTCCTGTACCCCCAAGACTCGGTTCTCAGCCCCTCTTGGCTGGCCTGACTCTCAGCGCTCAGAGCTCAACATCTGGATCTCTGTTCTCTAACCAAAACAACATTCGCAGAGCTGATGGAGGGAAATGGGTCACCATGCCCTTGAATTTTACATTTAATGGCCTGCTGAAAAAATGCAGCTCTAAGCTAAAAGTTCACGGAGTGCAGGCAAAATAGATCTCAAACTGCATTAGCTTGCTGTGCATGATCATGATTCTTTTTGTAAGAAATATGAACAAGTACAATTTTTACCTGTTTTTGCCTTAGAGTTAAATTTTTTTTTTTAAATGTATGTATGTATATATAATATAATATAACTTGCTGTGTATGATTATTTTTGTAAGAAATATGAAATATGATCAAGTAAAATTTTTACATTATTTTAGGTCTGATGTTGATTTTTGCAAATTTGGACACATTTAGGAATAATTCAGTGTTGATAAAAAATCTAACTATGTGACATTTATTTCAAAGAAAGATAGCCAAAGCACTTTTCAAGCAAAACATTTGACAAAAAGAAGCATGTTAAAGGTGAAGTGTGTAATTTTGGCATACCATATAACAGAAGCCAGTTTTTACCTTAAAAAAAAAAAATAATATAAAATAAAATAAAATAAAATAAAATTAAATTAAATTAAATTAAATTATTAAATAAAATTTAAATTAAAAAAAATATATACATATATATATTTTTTTGTAATTACGACTTTATATCTCACCGTGGCTTTTGACTGTTATTGCACTTTTATTTCTCATAATTGTAACTTAATTTCTCACTAAAATTGGCATTATTTCAGAAAATTTCTGAAAATTGGGTCTATATCTCTCAATTGCGACTTTATTGATCATTCTTGTCCAATACAACCTCATGGCAATTTGTTACTATTTTATATTTTAGCGAATTGGTGGCTAATTCATATGATCTCATTTGTATGATTCTAAAATAATGAATTATATTTAAAAACTCCCCCTGACTGGTTATCAAACATGATCATGTTTATAATTCATGTGCTGAACTATACCTGTGGTTATTCCTTTGCGAACTTCATATTGACTCCACTAAAATCTCCCTGACTCCTGTTAAAATCATTGCAAAAATGAAGAATGTTAGTTCGGTGAAAACCATGTCCATCATTTGTTTACAGATGTGTTCTAATGCAAGAT